GTTCGGAATACCTACCCTATGAATTGTAGACAATTTTGCTGATAACCTTTGAGCCATTTAGAATTTATATAAAAAATATATGAAAAATCTAATATAAATTAAATTAAGATTAAAGGTTCATGAAAATATTGTTTGAAATTCATAGGGTAGGTATCCCAAACATGATGGAATACATTTCCGGTAAAATCAGATTTTTAAGTTTAAAAAAACGCGCTCAAAAAATGATTTAAAGTTGAAAAAATAACACATTGCCGAATATTTCACATTGCCGCTAACATATTCATTTTGGGGTTATTCTAAAATTTTCCCTTATTTTTTATAAAATGTGTTAATGATATATTTAGTAATTTTATTTATGTTTATTTGTATTTGTAATTTATAATCTAAAAATTTATTCTTGCTAGATAAGAGTTTTGTGCTACCAAGGTTTGATTTGTCCCTTCCATATCTCTCTTATCTTTTCAGAAACCCCAGTATAATGGTATAACCTAAATTATACATAATTTTAAGAATTAAAATAGTATTTAAATAAATCTCTTATTGCTATTGAATGGGTACTTGCCATTTAAAGTTCTACCTTATTCCTATTGAATTGGTACTTGATGCATTTAAAGTTCTATGTTTTCAGTGTCCAACTACCTACAATCGTTCAAGTTTGGTTTCATGGGATGCATTTCATATTTTTAATCAATAATCAGATTGATGGGTGTTTATTCCCAACTAGATTAGAAAAACGATGAGAACCTTAACATTGATTATTTATGAGTTATTCGTTAGATAGAGTGCTCTGATTCATGTTCCAAGTTTCTGGAGAAAATCGAGGCCCAATTCGACCTGTCTGGGATGAGAATTGTTTCTTGTGACCTCCCTTGATACTCCATTGATGTAATTTTTATCGAAATATATAAGAATATCCTTACCATTGCTCGGAGCCGATATAAGGAATGCCATTGCATTGTCCATATCACATAAAGGAACAAATGCTAAGCCGTCCATCATGCCTCAAAAGAAGCTTATGGCTTCATCTGTTCTGTATTGGCTTTCCAGACCTAGCTTTTGAATTTTTCTATGGTTTGACACAAATGGTGAAAGCATCCTCTGATTATAATGTGATTCCCTAATTGAAAAAATAAATATAAATAATTTGACATATTAGTAATCATACCAATGACAGTTTTAACCGCGCTCATAGCAGACTTTTCGAAATCCATGTATATATATATAATGGATCAGGAAATAAATCCCGTTCTTGAAATTTAGACATTATTACTTTCAATATTTTTTCGTAAGTATTTTGTGTTTTATTTTGGAGTTTAATAGCTGTTTATGATTGTGGCATTCGCTTATAAAATTATTTATCAATATTAATTATTGCTAGGTTATACTAAAAAAAATTAAATAAAAATTGAGAAGAAAAAAATTGAGAAAAGATTAGAAAAATGAAGAAAATTAAATGAAAATTAACAAGAAATTATTTTTAAAAAGTAACGATTTTCTTTTTTTTGATTTTTTTTCCCTGAGGTTTTTTTCCTATTATCATTAAAATCATAATTATAGTGACGTTATATTCAATCAAAAATTGTAAAAGTTACCATAATTTTGCATATCTTTAAATTGGATGCATCTACATTTAATAAAGATTAAAAAGAGATAATAAAACAATTTTAATAAATTATACATTATATAGGATATAAATTATACTTACCTTAAATAATTTTATACATTTTTATTTTCTTATGGTATAAATAACTTACAAAAATTAAATTCTTTAATATATCCAATAATAAAGGAATATACCTTAAGAGTTGTATTTTCTTTTATCTCATTAAAAATATTTGTAGTGACATTATAAATTTCAATAATATTAAATACGCAAGTTGGCGTATTTTATATGTATTGAGCAAGGGGGAAAATTCGATTTAGAATAATTTAATATATATCTTCTTTATTTGAAAGTATTAATCCAGAATAATTTATTGTAATCGAATAAATTGAGTAATTGTATTAAAATATAAGAAAAACAAGTGATTATTTTATTATGTACGTTTTAACTAAATCTCAATATATATATCGTAATATAAAATTTATATTGAATAAATTGTGGCTAAAGGCTTCGTATAAAAAAAATACTATAATATATTATTAAGTGTAAAAAGTAATATCAATTAAATAAAATAATATATTATGCAACAATATGCTGTAATAAATGTCTCTTTCCTTAATAAGACTTTGTATCGACAAGAAAGATAGAGCTTAATTTATTTAATGCTGAATTAACTGAAGCATTTTTTTGTAATCTTAGCAAGGAAGAGCATGGCTTCACATCTATTGTTTTCATCAAAGCCTTTTTAATTAATTAATGAAATAAGATTATTAATTGAATTTAATATATATCAGGCCCTTCTCTGCATTTAAAGATACATCTCAAGTCTCAACCAAAATTACATAGTTAACACTTTATTTTTTTATTAGTTTTCATTGATAATAATATCAATTGTAATATAGTTATAAATATTTTCTTACATACATATATTATATAATTGAATCCTTAACAAGTTACAAGGACAATTAAACTTTTACATAATATTTGTAAAATCATTAAATCAATTTTTTTCTTTTAGCTAGTCAATTCTCGTATTTCCATCAAATTTTATAAACATATTTGATTATAATTATATTTTTTGAATTTTAATATGTATCATTTTTCAAATAAAATCATTGTTCGTATTCAAATATTCCTTTAATGGTGTTAAAAAATTTCTTAATCCGTCCCCCTCCCTTTCAAAATCTTTTGACTGCCAACCCCCAATGAATAAACCTAGAATCGGGCCTGATATATATACTCACTTGTATATTATTGCCAAAGTAATTTAATGTTACCTGATAGTGAATATTATTTGTAAGCTTTCGAATATTGAATGTGGATCCATGATTGAATAATTATATTAAGTGTATTAGATGTGAAATTTAGAAAAAAATATATTAATATTAATTTTCTTGAAATAGATATAACTTGCTTGCTGTGATTGTAATCTTGTAATATTACGATAAAATGAGGTAAAAAAAATAGGTAAATAAATGAATGCCATCGTGTTTATGAAATATTTATATAAATATGATTATATTATATAAAATAAACAGTTACTATAATACTGTTAGATAAATCAAGAAATAGTCACTTGGTATTTTTGAATATCATATGTTTATCAGCAAATTACTTTGTTTTCAGTTATACATAGCCCTCTACCATGTTTATTATGGTAATTCGGTTTATTAAAATGAACCTTTTATGTTATTAGTGAGTACTGATATATAAATTATATATTATTATATTTTATATAAAAGTATATTTTTAAAATAAAAAACGCCATTTTGCGGATCTAATATTATTGAAATTTAAATTGTAATTATTAACATAGCATACAAAAATTATTTATAATTTTTTTTTACATTCTTTCTTTTTTCATGATCGAATATCCCTTATAACATTAAAATTAAAATCTAAATTCTACAATTATATTTAAAAAAAAGATTAATGGAAAATAATACATTATTTTTTAAAATTATTATTTTAGAAAATAAATAACCAATCTATTTTTAAAATTAGAAAATAATATACAAAAAAATTATAATATTTCAATATCCTACAGATATGTTCTTTCAAATATAATTTATCAATTTTTATTGTATCAATCAAATAATGAGAAATTATAAAATAACCATATTTAGAGATGTAAGTATTAAATAAAATCTTAGCTACGCCTGATTAATCTAACGATAAAACTACAACTACTGCCAACACTACAACCACTGCCAACACTACAACCACTTCCAACACTACAACCACTGCCAACACCACAACCGGACATAAAAATGATTTTATTATCCAAAATATTCAGTCCTCTTTCATAATTTTGCATCAATGAATTCTATACAATTCCAATATATCAAAATTTAGTTGTAGATTAATGATACAAAAAATTTAAGTAAATACTTTTTCCTTTAATATTTCCTATACTTTTAGATTACCAATCATCCTCAATTATTATACACCAATTAATAACAAGTTCTTTTATATTATTCCCAACATAACACTCTACATTATCAATTCTATCATTCTTACCAATCTTTACAATTTACCCTTATTTATACCAAAAACTGTTGACTAATATAAAATTGTCATCCAAACATTTTATTTAAATGTACAAAACACAATCAATATTCACACTTGAAAAGGATAATACATTTAATCTCTTATCTAATTATACTATTCATTCAAATCCTTTAAAGCAAGCTAATATTGCTATAAAAGCAGAAAGGGAAACTGAATATTTTACAAAATAATAAAATAATTGCCAACAGAAAATAATTCTCTGCCAAACATTTATTCATAAAATGATATTGAAAATGTGATTTCTATAAGACCACTTGCACATCATTATGCTATGATACAAAACTTTGACAATGATTTACCCCAAAAATATGACTGATAGTTAATTACATTGTATTAGAAGAATATGGACTCTACAGCTTACTATTGCAAAAACCCCTCCATGAACTAAATATTACAAGCTAGACTGCAAACTAATATGAATTCAAATAAATACAAAAATTAAATGATATTAAAAGTGGGATTTCTATATGATCACTTGCACATAACTATACTATGAATAAATCATCTTCCATAATCAAACCTCAAATATTAAATAAATCTCATCAAAAATTGCCAAACATTTTATTCAGTTAATAATATTTCACCAAATATTTATCCAGAAAATGATATTGAAAGTGGGATTTCTATATGATCACTTGTACATAATTATACTATGAGTAAATCATCTTCCATAATCAAACCTCAAATATTGAATAAATCTTATCAAAAAACAAAAAAAATAACTCATTAAACTTCCTTAATATACCAACCCACAAGAAACCCACATTTGAAGATAAAAATAATATCCAACATTTTCACTCTTAAACTGATAAAAAAATTTTAATTCATGAGCTTACCAGACCTCAGCACAGCTTCTACCAAATCTAACTGCCCTTTATGTAATAAACTCGTTAAAGTAACCAAATTGGGGCTATTGCCATCTCATCGAAACCAGAAGATAAAATTAACTCAATCTGGGCTTCCCATCTTATCACCAGCTATCCCTCGAACCCTAAATGCCTTTTCTGCCATTGCCCTCGCACAACCTATAGTTACCATTTTCACGTTGACTGATGTGCCTACTAGCCCAATAGTCCCCACCTCCACCGCCGAAAATGCTCTCACTTTCAATCCAACCGACTCCACAGATGTAGAAATATTTTTAGTCACACCAAAACCATTTGTGATTTCACGAATACCTAAGGGAGCAAGACTTCAAGTTGCCAAACACCTCTCAAAGAACTTGACTTCCTTGATAAATAATTATTCTTCCATAAAACACTGGCTAGACACGACACCCTGTCATTTGCCTTTACTACCTTGCAAGTTCCTGATCCTGCCAGCAAAAAATCTCTGACACAGCAAATCAAGGATGCTACTATCTACCCCTTACCCATCAATCACTTTTCCACATCTTTTAAAGGTGATGACACTGATAAAAATAAAAATCACAAAAATGACCTACTCACCAAGGCCAAGCTTATATCTAAAAAGCTGGATAACCTGAATGTTAAATCCGCCATACGACTGGCAACATCTGACAATAAGCTAGCTCCCTACGATCAAACAACTTATCAAGCTCTTCTCCTAAAACACCACCCACACGATCTTAAGGACGAAATACCGTCTTACCCCGAAGCTCCTCTAATTGCAACCACTTTTACCTCAAGCGAGGTTAGAAAGGCTATTCTCTCCTTCAAACGCGATTCTTCACCGGGGGTTGATGGGTTTCGCCCAATATTCCTACAGGATCTAACCGCACCTTACATCACACAACAATGCGACGTTTTGGAAAAAATTACTCAACTCATCAACCGTATGCTTGCTGGAGGCTTACCACCCGCCATTATTCCACTCCTTTATGGAGCTAAACTCATCGCCCTCCATAAACCTAATAAAGATATTCGCCCTATCGCTATTGGAACCACTTGGCGCCGATTAACCGCAAAGCTAGTAGTGAGCAGAATATTGTTCACAGTATCTAATCACCTGTGCCCTAATCAATTAGGAGTCAACGTAAAAGGGGGATGCGAGGTATCCTTACACATGACCAGAATGTATCTACAAACAGACCCCAGTGACAATATCCTAATTAAGATAGATTTTTCAAACGCTTTTAACTCTCTAAAACGTACAGCGTTTCTTAATCCCATCCTTACCCTTTACCCAGAATACTCGCAATTCATTTTCGATTGTTATGCTAGTCCATCGCATCTTCAATTTGGAGATAGATTGATTCCTTCTAGTAGTGGAATACAACAAGGTGACCCTCTAGGCTCCTTCTTATTCTGTCTGGGCATTAATAGCCTAATACAAAGCATAAATGACCAATGTAAACTAAACCTTCATAACTGGTATATCGACGATGGTATACTAGGCGGCTCACCCAGCGAAGTTATAAAGGCGGTCGAAATAATAAAATCCAACTAGAGCAGTTTGGGACTGTGAATCAATCAAGACAAGAGCGAATATTGTCCTCTTGGAATCATCGACCTTAACTATGATCCTATGTTCAATAACACACCATTGACCTTCTTAACACATCTCGGATCTCCAGTGGGTAAAGACGAGTCCTTTGTCAAGTTATTCGCCGACACTACTAGAGATATCCCTTATGCGCGGTACACTATCTCGCCTCCCAGCCCACCAAGCGTTCTTTCTATTAAAGAACTATCTCCTAATCCCAAAAATTCTATATACACTCCGATCGTCACGTATCTTCCAATACGACGTCAACCTCGCTGCACACGAGCTAGAGATTAAACACCTCACAGAGGATATACTCAATCTCAAATTCGGAGACCTATCTTGGCTACAAGCTACCTTGCCAACCAAATCCGGCGGCATTGGCATACGATCGCCTTCCCTACTCTCTGTTAGTGTGTTCATATCCTCTCGCCTGTCCTGCGAGCCCATCATACACGCACTCACAAAACATCCTGACCCTTTACTTCCCCAGGCAATTGATCTATGGAAATCTCTTTCATTAGTCGATCCTCCCTCATCGACACTGCAGAAGGACTGGGATAAGCCTCTAGTTGGCAACTCCGTTGCATACCTTAAATCGAGGGGCCAACCCGAGGACCATTCTCTACTCTTCTCCATTTTCGCAGACAGCGGGTATGAATTTCTCGAAGCTTTTCCATCGCGAAACCTTGACCAGCTCCTAAGCAATGATGAGCTACGTCACGCCATCGGTCTAAGACTTAATTGTGATATGGTAATACCCTATCACTGCATCCTTTGTTAAACGCCGGTCAACTCCAAAGGCTACTATTGCCAGGGCCCTGAAATCTGCCGGTATCCCATCAACCCTCGAACCTACTGGACTCTACAATTCTGATGGTAAGCGTCCCGATAGCTCTACCAGGATCCCTTGGAAGAGGGGGGAATTCCTAACCTGGGATTTCTCATGCATCGATCCCCTTGCCCCTTCCAATATAAATAGAGATGCTCTAGTAGACGCCGAGATAAATAAACTCGCTAAATATTCGCCATCGCTTCCGGCCAATTACACATTCCTACCACTAATCGCCACGACTCTAACATCGTTCGGCTCTCACGCCCTTGCCTTCTTTAAAGAGCTGGGGAAACGGATCTCTACTAGGACCGAAGATCCCAACGAGAGTTACTACCTACGCCAAAGATTAGCCCTCAATAAAATAAAATCCAATTACCTCAGCTTCATATTCTCAATGACTGATACCCCCTAATCACAGAATTGGCGATGAGAAGAGCAATTAAGAACAAGAGAGGGATATTCAGATGGAAGTCAACAAAAGAACCAAACCCTAATCACAGAATCGGCGATGAGAAAAACAATTAAGAACAAGAGAGGAATATTCAGATGGAAGAAGAAAAGGGCAAACTATTATTTATATTATTTAAATATATTATTATTTATCCTTAAAGTGGCCTAATGGGTAAGATGTAAGCTTGGAAACACGAGTATGAACAAGGACGCGGGTTCAATCCTGGTAAGAACCATAAAAACTTTCAAGTTTTTCTTCGATGACTGATGTGTAAAGACATATGGTATGATGAATTTCGGAGCTTAGAGATGACACCCCGGTCACCGACAGGCCTGGACAGCCGGGTGCTAAGGATACCTGTCCAATAAATAAAATGAAGGACACAAATGAAAATATGAATATGAAAGCTAAGGCGTTCCCTCCATGCGACGCGCAGGGTGTAGACCTCCATCCTGTGAAAAATAAAGTAAAGGTCAAAGCAAAGAAGACAAGACTGGCAAGTTTGAATATTGGGACGCTTAAAGGTAAGACGAGAGAATTGGCATCAATGTTGAACAGGAGAAAAGTTGATATAGCGTGCATACAAGAGACGAAATGGAAAGGACAGAAAACTTTGATGATTGGAGATGGGTATAAATTGTACTATAATGGACTTGTTAGCAATAGGAACGGTGTCGGCATCATCCTCAGCCAAGACCTAACCTCTTCAGTAGTAGAAGTTAACAGGATCTCTGATAGACTAATGAAGATAAAACTCTGCATTGGTCAATCAATACTACACATCCTATCAGTATATGCTCCTCAAACGGGTTGCAAGGAAGAAGAGAAAGATGACTTTAGAGCTATCCTTGATGAAGCTGTAATGGAAATCCCTAAGGATGACCTAGTCATAATTGGTGGTGACTTAAATGCGCATGTGGGGAAAGCAAGAGATAGCTACAAAAGGCATCATGGTGGTTTTGGATACGGAGAAAGAAATGATGAAGGAGAGCACGTACTGAAATTTGCGCAAGCCTTCGACCTTGCCTTAACCAACACCTACTATAGGAAAAAAAACAGTCATTTAATAACATATGAAAGTGGTACTAGGAAAACACAGATAGATTACATGCTAATCTCTCGCAGAAGATTAAAAGATGTAATAGACTGCAAAGTCATCCCAGGAGAAGATATCGCCGCGCAACACAAGCTACTAATCATGGATTTACAAATCTCAAATAAATCCACTCAAAATAAGATAAAACTGGAACCATGCATCAAATGGGGTAAATTAAAAACAATGACAGATGCCTTTGCAATCAATGCAAACATTGAAACAATAAATTGCTCACAAGTCAGTGAAAAAATCTGGACAGACCTTTCATCCAGATTAAGAGACACTGCAAAATCGACGCTAGGCTTGACAAGAGGAGGCAACAAATCTCACAAAGAACTATGGTGGTGGAATCAAGAGGTACAAACCACTATACAGGAGAAAAAAGCCCTTTATAAAATATGGTACAAATCCAAAAATGCAGATGACAAGTCAAGATACAAAAAATCCAAGAGATTAGCTACAAAGGCGGTGGCTAGGGCCAAATCTATGGCATACGATGACATGTATGAAGATCTACATACCAAAGAAGGGCAAAATAAAATATACAGATTAGCCAAACAGCGTGAAAAGAACTCTAGGGATATAAACGGAGCTCCGAAAGTAATCAAAAATAAAGATGGGAAATTGATAATAAAGGAAAAAGAAATAATGAATAGATGGAAAGAATATTTTCAGGAGCTTCTCAACTTTAATTCCCACATATTGCATCTCGACGAACATTCCCCTTGTCAAAACCTTGTACAACCTATAACAGAACAAGAAATAATCACATGCCTCAAGCATATGAAAAACAACAAAGCTAGGGGTCCAGACGATATTCCAATAGAAAGCCTTAAAGCACTAGGAGATGATGGAATACATCTCCTCACAAATCTGTACAATAAAATACTTGGAAATGAAGAGGTCCCCCAAAAATGGAGGCAGAGCTATCTAGTTCCTATCTTCAAAAATAAAGGGGATCCACACAATTGTCAAAATTACAGGGGCATAAAACTAATGTCACACTGTCTAAAACTATACGAAAAAATAATAGAAAAAAGATTAAGAGGTATAATCGAAATAGGAGAGACACAGTTTGGCTTTATGCCTGGAAGATCAACAACCGATGCTATCCATGCAATTAGGCAAATGAGTGAAAAATACAGGGAAAAGAACAAAAAGCTACACATGGTCTTTCTCGATCTAGAAAAGGCCTTCGATAGAATCCCAAGAAAACTTATCTGGTGGGCGCTACGCCACAAAAAAGTTCCCGAAAAATATATAAGAATAATAGAGGATATGTATATGGGACATACAACAATGGTCCGTAGCACAACAGGTACTTCAGCAGGCTTCACAATAGCCGAAGGAGTTCATCAAGGGTCGGCTCTCAGCCCACTTCTCTTCATTACAGTAATAGATGTATTAGCACAGTCTATACCTCAAACAGTCCCGTGGAATATGATATTTGCAGATGATATTGTGATACTTGCCGAATCCAAGGATGAAATGAAAGAAAGATTAGTGAATTGGATAAATATCCTAGAAACGCACGGATTAAAAGTAAATAGAGAAAAGACGGAGTATATGGTGATAGGAGGAGATGAAACGGAGAGTATTGATATAAATGATTGGCAGATATCCGCAATTGAAAGCTGCAAATATTTGGGCTCCACTATACAAACAAACGGCACAATAGAAAAAGAGATAAAGATCAAGGGTGGTTAAAGTGGAGATCTTTATCTGGAGTGCTATTTGACAAAAGAATCCCACACAAATTAAAGGGAAAAATTTACAGTTCCATAGTACAACCAACTATTCTATATAGTTCGAAAACATGGCCAACCAAAGAATCAGACGAGAGAAGTCTACAAACTATGGAGATGAGAATGCTGAGGTTGATTGCTGGGGTAACAAGAAAGGATAAGGTGCGCAGTACAAGAATACTAAATAGTTTAAAGTTAGTGCCCATTAAGACTAAGTTAATGGTAAACAGACTTAGGTGGTATGGGCACACAATGAGAAGGCCTATGAACTACATAGGAAATAAAGTTGAAAGTTTGAAAGTGATGGGCAAACGTAAAAGAGGAAGGCTAAAACTTCAATGGGGCCATAAAGTTATAGCCAATATAAAAAAGTATAAAATAGATAAAAGAGATTGTATGAATAACATAAAGTGGAGAGAGATGTTAAAGGAGCTTACCACCAGAAAAGGTGAAAGCTAAAGAGAAAAAAAAAGATATACTAACAAATGTGATTATTTTTTAAATTGACATATTGTGATAAATTATAGTTATATTATATAAATAATAAAGTGGACAATTATATATAAAAAAAAAATAGAGGAAGTCATCCCTCCTCTTGTTTCTTTTTCCCAAAGTTAAATCTAATAAATTTTGGGCTATTTAAAAAGTTACAAAAAACTAAAAAAAAATTCTTTTTTACGCCATTATCTCTTTTAAAGAAAATTTTTTTTATTTGTAAATAAATTTTTGATAATATTTTTTTTTTTATAATTGAAAATAAGTACAAATGATTAGCAATTTATAAAGTGATAAAATAATTCATTAATTTGGCTCTCATTTGATTGCTATAAATAATAT